GACATCTTCAAGTGGCCAAGGTTGAGAAACACTGATCTAGATCATCCCCTTACATATCCAGAAGCTACAAAGAGAAAGGGGCAGGCCTTAGCCAGGGGTGGGTTCCGGCTGCTGCTACTACCGGTTCGCTCAGGGACATGCTGTGCAGACACATGTGCTTGATGTGCGCTGTGCACGCATGCACAATGCAACAAAAATTGCTCTGCGCATGCGCAGAAGGCAACAATAAGATGGCTGTGCCTATGGCGCTACCGAGAGAACCGGTTCGGGGGCGTGGCAGGCCGGTTCCAGCAACCTAGGCCGCCAAGTTACTACCGGTTTGGCCGAACTGGTCTGAACTGGAAGGAAGCCACCTCTGGTCTTAGCGTGGAATCCCTTTATCAAGACTTATAAACAGATAAACCCTCTGTCAGAGGCAACATTTTTGTCTTCTGCAGTCCCGTTTTATTCTCCAGCCCCATCCTCTGAAGACTTCTACAATCTTGACTCAGCTGTGCTCCCTTCTGCAATGATTTCCTTGGAATCTTGTTATTGAAAAGGGCTCCTATCGTCATTATAACTACAACATTCTGTAGAATTACCTAGCTACAAACTGGGAAACATCCTCAGGGTATCTGAACAATGTAATCAAATGACCTACTGAAGCTGGTATATGAATCTTAACATTTCCTGTTTGATTCCTTAGGAACCAATTTCTTCTAATTGAAAATGTACTATAAACCTGGTTTGAATTTAAACATGTATAAAGAATAAGACAAGCAACAATTTTTTTTTTACTATTTTATTTTTGGATTTGTTGAAAAAGTAGGTTTGGTACGAAGCCTTGGTTCCCAGTTATACGGCGATATTTTTACGGCTGCGTATTTGCTTGACAAAAGATTAAATGTCTGTTAAAATACTTCTATCTCTGTGTGCTGAGGGAGCATTTATGGAACAACAGGCAATTATGGGTGATTTGGTGGAGCCAAAACTGCTCATTTATATACAAATGATTGTCGTTGTAATGTTCAGCTGGACCAAGGTTTCCTCCAAATTTCTCCAGATTGTTAAAATGGGAAATAAAATAAAGATAACAAATAGAATAATAGAGAGATGCAAACACTCAGAATACTCTGCTTTCAGTTTTATACTCTTGTCTTGAATTTTATTAGTTTTCTTGCCCCAGTTGTTAAGTGAATCACTATAGTTAACTTAGCCAAATGGTTGTTAAGTGAATCCTGTGGGGAATCCTGTGGCTCCAGGACAGAACAGAATAGCAGAGTGGGAAGGGACCTTGGAGGTCTTCTAGTCCAACCCCCCGCTTAGGCAGAAAACCCTACACCACTTCAGACAAATGGTTATCCAACATCTTCTTCAAGACTTCCAGTGTTGGGGCCTTCACAACTTCTGGAGGCAACTTCTGTTCCACTGATTAATTCTTCTAACTGTCAGGAAATTCCTCCTCAGCTCTAAGTTGCTTCTCTCCTTGATTAGTTTCCACCCATTGCTTCTTGTTCTACACTCAGGTGCTTTGGAGAATAGCTTGACTCCCTCTTCTTT